CTGGAAATCTCCTTACCACAACAGGAACGCAGAGCCCTGGGAATCAGCAGACGAATCTTGAATGTCTGAAACTGTCTCTGCTGGACAGTGACCTTTATGATTCCCCTGTACAGTCCCTGCGGACTCTCTGGTTGGCCAGGACTCCCAGACAATTCCCTTGGCTCCACGAGCAGCGGGAGGAGCAGAAAATAGACCCTGGAGAATTACAGATTGAGAGTTTCCCCTGGGAATGAAGAAATAATTTGCGGATACCAAGGGCTCAGTTTGTCAGGGCAAATTCCGTCTTGCAGACTGTTCAGTCTAGCAATTGATGCTGGATTTTTTTTCTGACATGTAGTATACTGCCATCTGCACTGTGTGTGGGAATGCTGCCACAAGACACGGAACCAAACATTATTTTCAATTAATTATAGCAATGAACCACTGCATATCCCCCATGAAGTTGTAATATCCAGTCCATCAGCCTCTGAAATTCATTGCATTTCATTGAAATTCATTGGAGGCCAAATGACTTGATCATGAACCGATGCAAGTCAACTGTGTGGAAAAGGCTTTCTTCATGAAGGAATCTGGCATCAAAGGTACTTACCAATATCCCTTTGTGAGACCTAAAGTCGATATATATCTGGCAGCTCAAAACTATTCTAATATTTCATCTACTCTCTGAATTAGATAGGCATCAAATTTCAATACTGTGTTGATCATTGGGAAACCGATGCAGAAATGGGTTATGCTATTGTGGGTTAGAACTAACAGAAAGGGACTTCGCCACTCACTGTGTGATTCCTTCACCAGTTCCAGGACCAAAAAGCCATGGATTTCATCTCACATGGTATCCCACATTTTATGACAGAACAGCTATGGAGGTTCCCTGAACTTATGCCCTGGAGCCATTTCAGGATGGTGGTATTTTAGGTGGGTGAGAACACAGTGGTAAAGAAATCAAATAACTGGAACATGTGGATTTTTTTATTTAGGCTGCAGTTCCTGCCCCATGCTTGTGTCACAGGTGCAGGGGGAACTAGTTTGGGCTCCGGAGGGTATGAGAGCACCCCTGCAGTGCAGTCTGGGAGCCGTGGGAACTGATGCGCCCCTCTAACCACCCAGCTGGGCTGGCCTTTTTTCACACTGCTTTGCTGGTGATTGTATCTTTTCAGGCCCTGTTGTCACCCAACACAATGATAGATGGCACTACACACCCAAATAGAGCTACTGGAGAGCTTACCTAAGCAACCCAAGAACAAACGGAGGACATCAGCCAATTTCTGGCCTCTCCAGGTTCACCCCGCCTACTGGAGTATGAACCCATAATACTGTGTTGCACGCTGGAGGGGTCTGTACATTGTAAACTAATTGGTACATTTTGCCCTCCGCTCGATATGAGAAGGCTATGCAACAGCCTGTGTTAAACAAGCTGAGATTTTCCCCAGAAACTTCACTCAAAGGCACAGTGGTTTAGATAAATCAAAAAGGAAATTTAACTACAGAAATATATATTTGAGATGATTATAAGTGATAGCAAAGAGTTCAAAGCAGGTTGCATAACAAATAAACAGAACTGCCAACTAAGCCTGAGGTATTAGATAGATTGACTATGAATCAGCAAATTCTCACCCTGGCTGGTGATACAAGAAGCATTCCATGAGGTTCCCATACACAAGTTAGAAATCCTTTTGGCCTGGGACCAGCATTTCCTCCAGTTCAGTCTTTGTTCCTCGGATGTTTCCAGTTCTTTTGTGTGAGGAGTGAGACCACTACATGCAGTCACACCCCATCTGATATAGATTTAACATATGGCAGGAATCCTTCATTCCAAAAAGAGTTCCCAGGTCACTTTGTGGGAAAATACAGGTATACAAAATGGAGTTTGGTGTCATGTGGTCTGGTCACATGCCCTTCCATGCACTCTTGGGTCAAAGCAGCCATTATCCAACAACTGTTTGGAGTATTCTCAGGAAGACTCAGGAGGTGGGAGATAAGCTTCTCCTGAGGCCTATTGTTTCCCCTAATGATGCATTACCCTGAATAGGTTCTTCACCATCAGCTGTCTAGACTGGAAGCATTTTGCTTAATGCGTGTCACTAAGATGTAACTACATTTGAAATACAGGCACACAGTCAATATTCAACACATCATATAAAAATGACACATGCACACAAACAGGATAATCATTTTCAGCAAATCATAACTTTTCAGATAACACCTGACAAGACATATCTTGTACAAAATGAGGAGAGATTAATAAGACTGGGGCTTTTCAGCTTGGAAAAGGGACGGCTAAGGGGAGATATGATTGAAGTCATAAAATCACGCCTGGTGTAGAGAAAGTAGTTATGTACTACTTCTCATAACACAAGAACTAGGGGTCACCAAATAAAATTAATAGGCAGCAGGTATAAAACCTGTGGAACTCCTTGCCAGCAGATGTTGTGAAGGTCAAGACTATAACAGGGTTCAAAAAAGAACCAGATAAATTCCTGGAGGAGAGGTGCATCAATGGCTAGTAGCCAGGATGGGTCCCTAGCCTCTGTTTGCCAGAAGCCGGGAATGAGCGACAGGAAATGGATCAATTGATGATAACCTGTCTGTTCATTCCCTCTGGCGCGCCTGGCACTGGCCACTGTCGGAAGACAGGATACTGGGCTATATGGACCTTAGGTCTGACCCAGTATGGCCCCTCTTATGTTCTTATGGTTTTAGGTTCATAGTCATGCAAGTATGAAGAATACGGGGTTCAGTGTCACATTGAGAGTATGAGGAGGATCCCCTTTTAGGTTTTTAAAAGATTCAAATGATAGCAGTAAACCACATTCGAAAACATGATTCCAAATATACATACCAAATGATGGGGTCTAAATTAGCTCTTAACACTCAAGAAAGAGATCTAGAGGTCATCATAGATTGTTCTCTGAAAATATCTGCTCAATGTACCACAGCAGTCAGAAAACCTAATAGAATTCTGGGAAACACTAGGAAAGTGACAGATATGAAGAGAGAACATACAATAATGCCACTATGTAAATCCCATATGATAAATACTGAATGCAGTTCTGGTCTCCCCATCTCAAAAAAGACATATTTGAAATGGAAAAGGTACAGAGAAGGGCAACAAAAATGAATAGGAGTATGGAACAGCTGTCGTCTGAGGAGAGATTAAAAAGACTGGGACTATTCCACTTTCAAAAAGGGGATATGATAGAGATCTTATAAATTATGACTGGTGTGGAGAAAGTAAATTCAGAAGTCTTGTTTACTCCTTCACTTAACACAAGAACCAGGGGTCACCCAAGGAAATTAATAAGCAGCCGGTTTTAGCCAAAATGTTCAGGGACACAACCCCATGTTTTTGGTATCCTAGCCTCTGACTGCCATTTGAAGGTACCGGATGACAGGAAATGGATCCCTTTATAATGGCCCTGTTCTGTACTTTCCCTCTGAAGCACCTGGGATTGATCTCTGTCAGAAAACAGGGATACTGGACTAGATGGAGCATTGGTCTAATGAAATATGGATGTTCTTATGTTCTCATCTGAGTTTCCTTTTTTTTCTCTGTGTGCCGGACCTCATAGTAGACGGGGCCCACATGCTTCGCTACCTCCAAGGGTCCCTGCCATTGAACCATTCATATGAACAGCAAACTTGGTAGTAACCATGACACTCAATCACCTAGTCTGAACACTTGCAGCTGGGCCACTTTATTATAGGCCTTCTAGTGTACCTGTTGTGCATTTAGCAAAATACTTCTAGCAAACTCCCACAAAGTCTTGAGGCCATTTCTTATTTGAAGAATGTATTGGATTATGCTCTTCCATGTTTCTCCAAGCAAGTCTAGAAAGACTTGAGGCTGATTCCCAGGCAGCAGTTCAAAGAGAGCACATTACTGAAGCAAAAATGAGGTGGGGGAAGAGTTGGTCCTAGCATTTGAAATTTTAGGCTACAAACTTCTTTAATGTCACCATGAAAGTTCTGTGAAATTGCTCTACCAACCCTTCAGTTCTAAATGTTGTTACTGTCAATAGATCACACAGTTCTTTCATGATCCGCAAGATGGAACAGAGTGTTCTTGTTCTCATTGAGGAATGTGTTTCGTGTCGAGGTGTTCTAGTACCACTTCTATGTAGCTCGATCTATTTCTTGAAACAAAGTTATTTTTATTAACACATTTCTCTATACATAAAATAACAAATGAAAGCTTTTGTTACACACCTACTACAGATTTGACTACAAGCCTAAGCAGAATTTTGTTCACATTAGCAACACATCTATGAGATAACAATTAAGTCAAAATCAAAACCCCAGTACCGGTGCTCGCATCCCGATTGATGGATGGCAGGTGATTCAAACCAAAAATGGCAAAAGGCAGTGTTAAAAATAGCCCCAAAGTAGCCCAAATCATTTGTAATGAAAAAACAACAATAGCATAATTATACTATTTATTTCTAATTCCATTCAGTGATGGTTGTCAATGTCCACATTTTGTGTTGAATTAGTTTGTTACAGTTACCCTTATTTGGTTTATCCTACAGGTTTCCTGAAGGATTAGAAGTAAAGAAAATCAGGTAGATTTCATTCACCGGATAATTGTAAAATTGATAAAGAAGTTGAGCATTTTAGTTTCTTACTTTTCTCTTCAAATTGCAGCTTCTGTTCATCAAACTGATAAAGAACCTTGTTCACACAGGGACTAAGGGAAAACTACCTGGTAGTGTCAGAGCCATGGAAAGGCCGAGTGACAGGGTGTGTGGGGGTTGGGTGTGTGGGGGTTGGGTGCCGATGGGTGAGAATGAAAGAAGTCAGGTGATAGTCAGATAGAGGGAACTCAGCAAAGGAAAGAAAGCAGCACTTGATCATAGCGTGATAAGACGTTAGGTGTGAGGAACTTCTCAGACTGAACTTCCACAATGTTGAGCTCAGCAAAACTGGGGCAGTGCACTCCTGATCAATGAGGAAATAGCGTTTGCCCTCTTGTCACAATGGTTTAAAATCAGTGGCCCCGGCGATCACCATCTGCAGGTGTATTTGCGCAATTTCTCACGAAGCTCTTTGGTTTTGACCCCATAAATGATAGGGTTGAGCACGGGGGGGATGAGGAGATAGAGGTCAGCAAAGATGATGTGGACGTGCAGAGGAATGTCCTGAACAAAACGTTGTGTTAGGTGGTAGAAGAGACTGGGAGTATAATACGTCAGCATCACACAGATGTGGGCTGTGCAGGTGTTGAGGGCTTTCTGGTGGGCTTTGTTGGAGGAGATTCTGAGGACGGCCTTGATGATCAGACCATAAGACAGGGCAATGAGCGGCAGGTCTAAACCGATGACTAGAAATAGTATCACCAAGCCATATATGCTGTTCACTGTGATGTCCCCACATGAGATCTTTGCCACAGCTATAGGTTCGCAATGTGTGTGGGGGATAATGCGGTTTGCACAGAATGGCAGCCTGGTCAGGAGCAAGGGCAGAGGCAGAATGAAGAGAATGGATTTGATCAAACCTAAAAGCCCTAGCAAAGCTACTCGTCCTTTGGTGAGGATGGTGGCATATCTCAGAGGGTTACATATGGCAACGTAGCGATCGAAGGCCATTGTCATGAGGATGGTTGAGTGCATAACAGTAAACATGGGAAGGAAGAACGACTGGGTGAGGCAGCCACGCACAGTAATGGTTTTCAAATTGAACCAAAATATGCACAGTGCTTTTGGCACAACGGAAGTAGAGCTGGTGATCTCTGTGAGTCCCAGCATGCAGAGCAGCAGGTACATCGGCTTGTGCAGGGTCTGCTCTTTGCTTACAACAAACAGAAGCATTAAATTTTCCAACAGGCCGAAAAGGTAGAACATTGCAAAAGGGATGGAAATCCAGACATGGGCAGCTTCCAGGCCAGGGATGCCCATTAGGATGAATATTGAAGGGTCAGAGAGGGTGAGGTTGAAAGCTGCCATGAAGTTCTCAGTGTGTCGATCGAGCTCAGAAATGTTCAAACTTCCTGTGAAGAGAGAGAAGCAGAGCGAGGGGGGTTACACACTTTATAAGAAATACTAGGGTAAATATGTTATAGTTATTAACCATCAAGAAAGGGTGGCGAGAAGTGAGGTGCCAACATTTATAGATGTCACAAGATTATTTTGGTTATACTTAAGTCTAGAGAAGTCCTCAGATGGAGCAAATTAAGCCTTGTGAAACCCTGCTCTTAGTGCAAGCATGGAGAGAAACTCAGCAAAGCGTTGGATCCAGGAGGAGTGGAATTGGGAAACCATATAGAAAATACAATGCCATGAGATCAGCCAGTCAAGTTTCACCCTCCTCTGGACTCCTCTGTGTCGTACTGTTACCCCGGGTTCTTTCAACCCAAAGCTCTTGGTAACTTTTACTCTGTGCGAGGAGGTGTCAGGAAATAAATCATGGGAGACACGGCCGTCCGACCGATAGATGGCTGGCACAAACAGGACAACACAAGGGTGCTTTCACTTAAAGTTAAACTTGACTTAGGCCTGGTCTACACTAGCGGGGAGGATCGATCTAAGTTATGCAACTTCAGCTACCTGAGTAACGTAGCTGAAGTAGACATACTTAGATCGACTTACAGTGGTGTCTTCACTACGGTGAGTCAACTGCTGCCGCCTCCCCCGTTGACTCTGCCCGCGCCTCTCACCAAGCTGGAGTACAGCAGTTGATGGAAGAGCGCTCGGGGATAGATTGATTGCACCTAGACTAGATGTGATCAATCGATCCCTGCTGGATCTATCGCTGCCTGCCGATCCGGCCGGTAGTGAAGACACACCCTTAGTTTCAAGCACTTACACACGTCCGCAATAGGTTAGTAAAACACCCCCAACCCTTGATAACTACCAAAGATGAGTGTGGCTCTCGAGTGACACAGTGGCAGGCTTCCGATGGTAAGGTGACCGGATGTCCCAATTTTATAGGGACACTCCCAATTTTGGAGGCTTTTTCTTATATAGGCTCCTATTACCCCCCACCCCCTGTCCCGATTTTTCACATTTGCTGCCTAGTCACCCTATCCGGTGGCCAAATTTTCCGTCTGCCGGTGGGGACCGCAAGATGTATCCAGAGGGAGAGTCCAAACGAATCCAACTACCACAAACATTTCCCCCTTATTTATGCATTAATAATAGAATGACATGTCCCTTAAAGAAAACTTGTTAAGTAAGCAGTTTCCATGGTCAAGCAAGAGCTTCCTTCTGATTATTGATTAACGAGGTGTGTCTTTTTCCAAAGTTTGCAGCCTTGAGGCCCCAATAGACATTCCTGGGGCACATCCTGCTCTTCTAAAATGCATGTATCAGCAACTTCAACACAATTCTTATCAGGAAGGATAGGGGTCAAGCTGCCCTTTCTGTGGCACCCAAAACCTCCTCCCCTCCTGCCTTGGTCAAGCTAAGACTGCTGACTAGGCCGCTTTTAGCAATAAGCCATAGTGGTTTCAGGCACTTTACTGGTTTGCTAAAATCTCCCCGTACAGGACTGTGCATCCTTCTCACACAGGATATTGCAGAAATAGGGGGGTTCTGGGAAGGGCAACGAGAATGATCAAGGGCAAGGGGAAACTGTCCTACGGAGAGAGGTTGTAAAGACTGAGATTGTTGCCTTACGAAGGAGATGAATAATAGGGGACATGAGAAAAGTCTATAAAATACTGACCCATAGAGATCTGATCGAGACTGTTCTCCCTGTCTCATAAAACAAGATCAAGTGGACATTCAATTAAACTGAAATGTGGCAAAATCAAAATCTTTAAATAAAGAATGCTTTCTTCACTCAATGCCTAAACAGACTGAGGAACTCCTTACCACAAGAGGTAGTTGAGGCCATCAGATAAGCAAGAATCACGAAGAGTTTGGACATTTCCATGGATAGTGAGACTTTCCAGTGACAATAGTTAGACCTAAACAAATATTTTGGAAAGCCTATACACACATGTGTTTCAGAGCACAAGCCAGTCTTTAGTTGTTAGGCATTTAGGTCACAGCCTCTTGATGGTCAAGTCATCCAACCCCATCTACCTACTACTGGGTGTTTTACACCTTCTTCTGCAGCACCTGGGGCTGTCACTGTCAGAGAGAAGAAACTGGACTTGACTGACCATAGGTCTGATTCACAAGACCATTTCTATGTTGGAGAGGAGCCAAGTTTCCACTATGGAAACAGACATTATCCTGCTGGGCTATGACCTCGTGCTCAACAGAATGGACATGAAGAGCACAAAGGTCTGGGTATTTAGGGCTACAGGTCTGCACACGTGTTACTTTCCTTGTGTCTTTTGGTGAGACACTTTCTTGCAGGCACCCAGCTTCACCTGAGACATAAGTTACAGGTGTTAACTGAGAAGTGTAAGCAGAGACTTTCATCTGCTTAACCTTCTCATGCCTGAATATTGATGAGATTTGACAATGACAAAAAAATTGGAGGATGGTAAGAAGCAAACAATACATGTTCTAATATAGCTATGTCGATATATAAATCTAGGAACAAAGAATGTAGGTGACACTAACACGATGGGGGACTATCTTGGGCAACACAATGATTCTGAAGAAGATTTTGGGGTGAGAACGGATAATTAGCTAAACATGAGCTCCCAGTGTGACCCTGTGGCCAAAACAGCCAATATGATCCTGGGATGGTAAACAGGGGGATATCAAGGTGAGGGACCAAATGTATTTTACCTCTCTCTTTGGCACTGGAGTGACTGCTGCTGGAACCCTCCATCCAGTTCTGGTGTCCACTTTTAATGATGGATGTTGATACATTCTAGAGGATTCAGGGAAGAATCACAAGAATTAGTAAAAGATTAGTAAATCTGCCTTATACTGATAGACTCAAAGATCTCAATCTATTTAGTGCAACAAAGATGGTTTCGGGGTGATTTGATAACAGTCTGCAAGTACCAGGATGGCTACAAATATTTAATAATAGGCTTTTCAGCCTAACATACGGAGGTGTAACATGATCCAATGGCTGGAAGTTGAACTTAAAGAAATTCTGACTGGAAATAAGGCACATTTATTAACAGTGAGAGTAATTAACCACTGGAACAATTTACCAAGGGTCTCAGAGGATTCTTCATCACTGAGGAAGTTTAAATCTAATTTGGATGTTTCTCTAAAAGGCCTGCTCTAAGAATAATTTTGGGGAAATTCTCAGGCCTGTGTTATACAGACAAGAAGATCACAATAGTCCCTTCTCACCTTGGAATCTACGAACATGTCCCTATGGGTCAGCTGATGGCATTTTGCCTGCAAGTTAGTGCCTGAAATTACTGAAGGTATTTTTTCTATTTGTGACCATGTTAAATATAGCCACATGCGGAGAAATTCTCATGAGACTGTGATGCCTTGGAAGGGTTACACTGGTTGTGTATTTCATGAGCCTGAGGGATCCCGTGAAGCACTGTATGGATGAATGTTTTAGGTGACAAAAATAATGACTTGAGCCATGAAATCTCTGCATTGTGGAATAAATGTACAACCCTTGCTATTAATGACTAAGAGGGGTGGTTGGCAAATGGTCCCAGAGCATCCTTTCTTTACCGTCTCTGTCCAAGTGGTGCATGCTTTCGGTCAGCTACGTGGGGGTTCCTGCACATGGTAGTTGTATTTATCTAGGCCCTCACATTTCCCATAGTTCCACTCTCATTATGTAATATGCATACTTCTTAAATGGCAAGTTGTTCCTGTGTAGCAGTTCTTGAAGCACCCTGCAGTGAGTGTGGGTGTAACAAGAGAAGCTCCACAGGTGCCTACCTTGGAATTTACCACTCGTGAGATTTCTCACCAGTGAGACACAGTCACTGATAACCCTCAGTCAAGGGACCGGGTGTATTTGGAGGCACCTCACCCCCTGCAGGGGAAGAATTGTGGGGAGTATGGGGTGGCTCAGAGGTTGGGGGGGCAGGGATGACTGGGGAGCATGGAGAAGACAGTGGTGACCAGCGTGCTGTTGGAATTAGGACAATCTGGGATGAGGAAGGAGAGTACAGATAGGAGGGTCAGAGTATGATGGGAGATTGAGCCAACTGAGGAGCAAATATCAGGCATTTCACTGGAGGGAACATGAATTGAAGTTACGTAATTAACATTCAACAACCACCATTGGAGATAAAACTGAGTAAACTTTCTGACACCCAGGCTGCAGTTCTGTGGTTTGGCAAGACAAAGAGACTCTGACACCCACCCCCAAAACACACTCCAGACAAAGAAATGTCCTGCCCTGCCCCCACAAACCCCAGCACTGCCTGTCTGACCATGTAAACTCTGCTTCTTGCCCCCATAACCATCAGTGCTCTCTACCTGCCCATGTACCCCTGACTCCATGCCCCAGAACCCCCAGTGCTGGCCACTTGTCCATGTAGGCCCCCCACCCCCACAACTTTCTGCCCTGTCACACAGTGATACCCCTCACTCAAGACCAAAACCAGGTGTCAGACCCCACAACGGCTCACAGGAATATCTCCTCTGCCTAGGTTAAACTCAGTGTCTGCCTGCACCGGGGAAAAGGGGGAGATCGGCTGCAACAGCCTTTCTGGGGGCAAAAGAAACCCCAGCAGCAGCTCAGCCCATGCAGGGAAGGAGAGAGGTACGGCCATAGTAGGAGGGAGAATGGACAGGAAGATGAAAAGGAGCCAGTGTGAGCAACTCCTCTTCAAAATGACAAAAAGCATTAACGTATTGCAGGCAGTTAGAAACCCAGACACCCCTTCCTGAAGCTGCTTTTCCATGTTAGCAATTGCTGATGTTACTATGAGGCATTAGTGGGGTTTCTAACAGGAGGAAGGATGATCCAGATGTGGGGTGGTGTCAGAGACAATCTGCTACAGTGACACTGTGATCTGGATACTGCACATCCCCATCCCCCCATATGCACACACAGACCTGGATCTCCCCCAGTGAGATTACCAACCCTGCCTGGTTTCCTCTGAGCCAGAAACATGCTTTTCTTTTTACTACCTTTTGCGTCTTCTCATTCTCTCCAGAATCAGAGATGCAGGGGTAAGGAAAGAGCAGACCCTCCCCCCCCGAAAGAATTGTTCTTCTAATTGTTCTGAACCTCTAAGCCTGTGGGTTTGGGATTTGAGCAACTCTCCTGTCAGTTCTTCTTTGGTCCAAATGAGCTCACCTGTCCTTAGAGGCCACAGGACGCCTCCAGTTGAAGTCAGTGGAGGATCCTGGTTGCTGTAAATCAGACCATTTGTTTAAGTCCCTACATGTGAATTTAGAGTCATCTCAATGGGCCAAAATTTCACTCTTTAACCTGTTTATCTTTTGGCTCTGAGCTGCGGAAATTACAGACACTGGTCCTGCTACAAAGAGTGCTATTCTGTTAGGGCGCAGAAAGAGTCTGAAGGCACACACCCTCCTCCCCCAGTTTATGTGGCATTCTGAGATGTGGATTCCGAAACACGTGGGTCCTGATTTTGCTTTAAGGGAGGCCAGTGTCAATTTGGACTGACCCACTGAAGGCAGAATGTGAGAGCAGAATCTGGCCAGTGTGTGACCCATTCTTGTGGTGAACCCTCTGGTAACACAGATACCCACTGCAAAGGCTTTGGCTGAACTTCCTAAAAGGGCAGTAAAGTTGCTGAATTGGAAAACTTGAGCGAATCAGAAAAAAACTACAGCATCCGACAAAATGGGCATTCACCCACGAAAGCTTATGCTTATGCTCCAATACATCTGTTAGTCTTAAAGGTGCCACAGGACTCTCTGTTGCTTTTTCCAAGAAAGAAAACGACTAAAACAGCTGGAAGGACACAGTAAGAGACAAGAAACTGATCTTAAAAACAAATATTTGTCTAAACTATTTCCAATACATTTGTAGTTCCAATTTTACCAGGTAAATACCTTGTTGTTTCTCATAATACTAAACAGTTCAAGTCACTGTCCTGGTGAATTCCCGCCCAGATGGTTCTTAACTTGAATCCTTGAACACTTCCTGAGCCTTTACCACAAACTTTAATGCAGAAAGAGGCAACTCACCAAAATCCTGCTCAGCAGAGAGAGGAAATAAACGTACAGCGGCAGGAAGGCAGAGCCCTGAGAATCAGTGTATGAAAGTCACATGTCTGACACTCAGCGTGCTGGGCAGCGACCTTTATCATTTCCCTGTACAGTCCCTGGAGATGCTCAGATTGGCCAGGACTCCCAAACAATTCCCTCAGCTCCATGAGCAGTGGGAAGGGTAAAAAAATAGACCTTGGAGAACTTCAGCCTGAGAGCTTCCCCTGGGAGTGAAGAAATAATTTGCTGATAACAGGGGCTCACATGGTCAGGGCAAACTGAGTCTTGCAGACATTTCAGCCTAGCAATTACGATAGCTCCTTAATGCACTGCCATTTGCACTATGTGTGGGAATGCTGCCACAAGATATTGGACCAAAGTCTGTTTTCAATTGATCATAGCAGCGTACCACTGTATATCACCCAGGCAGTTGTAATATCCAGTCCACTAGCCTCTGAAATTCATTGCCACCCTCTAGAGGCCAAATGAGAGGATCTTGAATTGATGCAAGCCGAAGGGCATGGAAAAGGCTTTCTTCTCTCAGGAATCTGACATCAAAGGTGCTTCCCAGTATCCCTTTGTGAGGTCTAAAGGGGAGATATATCTATCAGCTCTGAACTGTTCTAACAGCTCATCTGCTCTCTGCATCAATAAGCATCACATTTCAATACTGTGTTGATCTTTCCAAAATCGATGCAAAAATGGTTTTTTCTGTCTTGCATCAGAAATGGTATCATGGCTTTTCTCCACTCACTCTACGATTCCCCACTCCCAGGGCCAAAATTACCTGGATTTCATTTTATAAGGTATCCCACATTTTATGGGAGATACAGCCACGGAGTTTGCCTGAGGTTTTGCCCTGGTGGTGCTATTTTCAGTAGGTATGCCCTGCTGGGTCGAGAACACAGTGGTAAAGGAATCAAACAACTGCTATATCTGGATCTTTTGTTCGGTCTACAGTCCCTCCCCCATGCTTGGGTAACAGGTGCCTGGGGGCCTAATTTGGGCTCTGGACAGTATGAGTTTGATGGGTTGTCACCCCCGGGGTGCAGTCTGGGAGCCGTGGGAATCGCTGCACCCCTCTAATCACCCAGCAGGGCTGGCCCTTGTTCACACCACTTTGCTGGCGATTCAGCCTCTCCAGGCCCTGTTATCACCCAAAACAACAGCAGATGGTGCCACACACCCAAACTGAGCTACCTGAGAGCTTATCTAAGCCACCCAAGTACAAACAGCAGACATCGGGCGTTAGTGGGCTTTCTCTTCACCCTCTCACCTGATTCATAAATCTGACACTGCAGAACCTTGTTTCCCAGTGTCCCTTCTCAGCTCTGATGTCACAGAGCCTTTACCTGTATTTCCCCTTCCCAGCTTGATGCCAGAGAGTCTTGTTTCCCAATGTCCCGACCTCCCCCCTCCTTGGTAGGCATAATTATCTTAATTGTTCCATTATATCAACAAATCCATCTGGCCAGGCAGAAACAACACACACACTGTCTTTCTCCTTTTTTCACATGCATTGGCATAAGATATAAGAAGTGTGACAAAGTTCCTCCTCTATCTTGGTGGGCCCTGAGCTTATTGGTGGATTTTCTTGCCTCAGAGATTCACCATGTGGGTTGGGGAACAGCCCAGAGACCTTCCCCTCTGGGAGAACCCACAGTCCAGGTCAATTGGGAGGTTTGGGGGGAACCCGGGCCCGCCCTCTACTCCGGGTTCCAGCGCAATGTTTCCATGGCCCATTTTACAGCGAGGCATTCTCTCTCCACCACTGCATATTTTTGTTCCCTTGGAAGGAGTTTCCGACTGCGGTATAGAATTGGGTGTTCCTCCTCCCCAACCATCTGTGATAGAACGGCCCCCAACCCTACTTCCGATGCATCCGTCTGCAGGATAAACTCCTTGGTGAAATCAGGGGCTATCAGTACGGGGTTACCGCAGAGGGCAGTCCGTAGGTCTGTGAATGCTTCCTCTGCTGCGTCAGACCATCTACCCAGATCAGGTCCACGGGCTTTCACTAGGTCTGGCAGGGGGCTTGCCCTTGTGGCAAAGTGGGGGATAAATCGTCGGTAATACCCCACCACACGCCCGGACTTGTTTCTTGCGACTTGGTCGGGGCCAATTTTGGATGGCCTCTAACTCGTTCACTTGGGGTTTTACCAGACCTTTTCCCACAATGTAGCCAAGATATTTGGCCTCTGTAAACCCTA